AGTGTATTATGGATTTGTTAAGATTAGCATCAAAATTTGATGATAATCTATGTCATAAAAAGCTACAGGCCACTGATGTATATAAACATAGAACAACTGCCACTTTATAAAATAATTAAGTATTTATATATACATAGATATATATGTATATATATATATATGTATGTATGTATGTATGTATGTATGTACGTATGTATGTGTGTATAATATATTTATGTATATACATACATATATGTGTATAGCCATTATAAAATATAATTATTATATTTGTACAATACGTATAAGACAGCCATCTCTAATGAAACATTCATAACGAGTGTGTGATAATATTTGTAAAACTTGATATCCAATAAATAATCTTATGTTCTTTACAAATTATTTCAACTTTTTTTTATATGATATATATAATAAAATAATATAGTAAAAAAGATTTTAAAAATATAGGAACGAGCTTTCTTTTCAATTTTATATCAACCAATAATTATTTGCATGAAAATAGTGAAATATTAATACTACTAATATTATTATTATAAAAATAAAAAAAATAAAATTAAACTAATTTTTGAGGAATGACATTATTTAAATTGAAATATTTTAAATATTGTTATATATGACAGAGACATCTATGAAAAGTATCTGTGCTGCCATCTAAATAATATTTCTGTTTAATACTAATAAGCAAAAACAGATAGCGTTACCAATCCGCTGTGCACATTTAAAAAAAGCAAAGGACAACAATACGCGATCGAGTACAGTGAAAAATTGGTGAAATGGTGAAGTTGTGTCGTGCGTATATTTAGAACCAGGTGAGCATTTATTCATTAATTACACTTAGCTTCATTTGTCATGTGCCAATTGATGTGTAGCTCGTTCTAGATAGAACAGCACGTTTTTCAGGATGATTTTTGTACATTTTAATCAGTGAGAAACATTTTATAAAGTCCACTAGGTGTCTCCATTGAATTATATCATTAATTTGTATACATTGAAGAATCAAAAATTTATAATTGCATATTTAATTGTTTAATAATTTTGTGTCGTGTTTTATTATAAAATCATTTTGATAAAATCATATGAATTATTCATTTTGATATTTTTTCGTGCATCATAACCTCTTCACATATAATATTCGTTTTACGAATAGAACATACATCGACAGGTATGCAAATATGTGTATGTACTTATGTATAATACTATCATGTGTATAATATTGTTAATATTAACTTTATTAATTTATCTTTACAAACAATAAGGAAAAAGAGACGATCAAAATCGATAATATACTAAAATTCTGGTTTATCATTAGTTATTTGTTTCTAAACTTTTTCAATAATAGAGATTAATATTTCATTAATTTATTTCATCGGTTTTTTAATTATACACATAAGACTTAATGCATAATAGAAATAAATTAAAAGAATATATATATTATGTATATCTAGAATATATATATAAATATTTGTGCTTAAATATTTAAATTGTTGACATTATGTATAATATAATTATATTTTTTTCCAATTTAATAATAAAAATTGATAAATAATTAGCACATCAAGTATACATCTGCTCGCATATTCATCATATTTCATCATTTTCGCGGGAAGATAAGTAACACGTGGTTCTTAATATACTTTATATTTTTTTAAAAAATGAAATATATTTTATCATTCTATTATACATATATTTCTTTATTAATATGCTTCTTTTTTTTTAGAAAGCTACAAACACAATAATTCAAAATTAATAAAAAATTTTTCATATATTGAAAATACATATGATTTTTTCTGATCATAGAGGAAGAACAATTTAAAAAAATTTTAATGTTATTATAAGATGAAATCATGAAAAATTCATTTTTTTTTTTTTTTAAATTTAGAAGTCAAAATATCCCTTCTCTTAGGGTATGCCAAAATTTCACGGTGGCTTAATGCCCCCATCCCCCACCATGATCCGACCTCTATTGATTGCTCTACCGCACTACTGCCCTACTTTTATGACTTCACTTCATCCCCGCCTTCTCTTTCTCTGTTTCTTTCTTTCTCTTTGGTTTCATGTTCTCTGGTAGTCCTCTTATCATGATGTCATAGATATACAAAAATCATGGATTTCATGTTGTTTATAAAATACATTTTTTTGATTACGGAAAACACTTAGTTTAACTTACAATTTCTTCGCCATTTGATTGCTGATTTATAATAATATCATTCTCATTTACTTTTAATTCAATTTCTGAAATTTATGATATTTCAATCACTAAAATTTGGATAAAATTGGATAAAATTTTAACATTAGAATCACATTCAATATAATAAAATCAGAAATCTTACAATATATACTTATAGAGTCCAAAATGAGAAAATTATACGAATGGGACCGTAAATTGAAGAATCAAAAATTACTACGGTAATAGATTAGCGAAAGATTTAGGAACGACTGTATCTATAAATTGACCAGTAATGTATATTATGTATCGATGGTATGCAATCTTGTGGATTGTGGTGCACGTGCGTATGCTGCTATTACGCTTACGTGTCACATGTGTATGCAACGTTGCGTGCACAGGATCAAGGCTACACGTGGTGCAGGTTTATTTTTGAAGAACCTGTAACACATAGCATATCCAGAGGAACAAGGCTTTTTTCCGTCGTCTTGCGTGCAACCTCGGGATATTTATACAATTTTCTGTTTATCACATTATCAAACTGTGTATTGTTCTATGCTGATGCGTTAAACAATCACAGATATTGTTTTAAATCAAATGACAATTATCCAATTCCATTTGACTGTAAATGAATTTTCAACTTATTATTTGCTTAGAAAAACTGGTTTCTTCTTCTAGATTTTATTGGAAATAATTATCGTTGAGTAAAAGGGCCTCGAGATTTTTTTCCTTTTTTTTAACTTATCGATCAACCGATAGCTTTCATCCGTTAAACATCCTTTCGTTCATTGGATATTCCCATAATCGCGAATATACTTGATCTTTGACTCGATATTTCTTCTTCTTCGTAAATCGAAAGGATTTTATACTTTTATTAATTTATAATTTATCCTAAGGATTATATTTAGAAAGAAATTTAATAATTGCAATCGTGGTATTAAATCATCAGATATTAAAATGGATCAAGAATGTAAGAAAACATCATATGTGATCGTATATTGTGCCGTACTCGGCAGTAATTGAGATGTCTTGTTTCATTGGTCACCGAAAGTGGCCTACGTTGCGTGTCATAATCGGCGCAGAGGATTAAACGTCGATGAAAATCACTTATTGCCTACCGGCTAACATAAATAGTCTTCGCGTTGCAGTGCACGGTTCTTTATCCAGCAAGGTCATCGCAAAAGCGAGCAAACGAGATGACTCACGCGGGATTCGCTCGAATGCTTTCACCATTGGGCCGAATCGTGCTCGGATCGATCGATGCCCAGAGTTAAGACGAATTACGAGCGGCGGCGAAGGGAGGCCGATTTTCGGCTAGCCTGCACACAAATCACTCCTCTTCGACGAATCCGCTGGACGACCACAGTCACGCCAACCTCGGTTTCGCACTCCATCTTATTGTGGCATCACACACGTGCCGCTGAAGAATGTTCTGTTAACCTTCTTTCGGGGAATTCCCGGCCTACCAGCATGGAAATTCGATCGAAGGTAGTCGTGGGCTCGAGGTGAAGGTCAAGTTCACTAGTCGGCCTCAATGATTCGCACACATGACGCAAGCTTTTTGACCGAATCTTTACCTATTGTGATTATAACACTCTTCTTTTATTTTGATTTCTTTCCTCTATTATTAATTCCAAAACAAATTTCCAAGAAAAGTTTTAAGAGACTTGAAAGATAATTGCATTATATTTGTTTTTTTTTTTTAATATATTATATAGATATATCGTCTTGCAAAGTAAAAGTTCAAGAATATATTTTCAACGATGAATTTATATCGATGGTAATTAAGGATAGCTCTCTTCTATGGGAACAATATAAATAAAAGTAATCGTTGATAAAGGGTCGATATATAGTAGATAACAAGACGTGTAGGAGAACCTCCTCGAGAACCAAGGAGATAAAAAGTATTTGCAGTGACCCTCGAGCAAGGTAGCGTGCCAGAGTTCTATAAGAAAAACGGAATTGCTCTTCTAACAGTTTTTCCCTGTTGATGAGCTGTTAGCTTTGTATCCTCCTCCTACACCCACGATATCCAAGAAATGTGCGTCGTTGCTTTATGATACAATTTTTATTGTTCTCTCATACTTGCTCACAACAGGCGATAATTTTCATTGCGAAAATCGTAACAGTATTTTTTTTTTCATTGAAACGGTTACGACGAACAAGAAAAGAAAAAAAAGGTTGATATATGCAAGTTTTATCGAATCACAAGAGGAATACACGTGCGACGACGAAGTTCGGAATTATGTCGTTATTTCGAAGAATATCGTTCCTTGGGTATGAATTCTGAGTCATCATCAACAGGGTCACGTTACATCATTAATCTTTCCCTCTGGTAAAAGCAATCATTTTCACTATTTAAGAGTGCTCGTTGTGATATAACCATTTTTTTTTTCTTTTTTTTTTTTTTTTTTAA